GGTGGTCTTGCTTCACTTTGCAAGTAGAACTCAAAGTATCTATCTATCTATCTATCTATCTATCTATCTATCTATCTATCTATCTATCTATCTATCTATCTATCAGATTTATATAGCTGCCCATCTGACAAACATGACTCCAGGCAGTATACAACAAAACAGTTAAAAACAAATATAAACAACAAGTAAAAACAATTAAACATAAATTAAAAAATCAAGATTTTTGCTACCATCATTGCACTTCAGAAATGTTGCTTTGAAGTACTGAAGCGAAATGAAACGGGGAAACGGTTTTCCCCAGAGCAGTTTAAATCACAAAGCTAGATAACACAAAAACCAAGAGGTAAAGCAAAATAAAATGGTTTGAATCTAAAGCAGGATTCTTCACGCTGATAGAAATTGGCAGAGGTATACCTGCTATAATTCATTTAACAAAATATAATAAAAGTAAGTAGTAGCTTGAACATTCTGTGTAGTGGAATTGATGTTTTACATTGCCTTAATATTTCACAACATGCCAGTGAAAACTACTGTTTTGATACTCTAATAAATGACATGTTCATATTAACAAAACATGGAAGAGGTTCGCATATGTCCATAATCACCATTGGGCTCAGTTGGATTCTTAATAAACGTACAACAAAAATGAGTAACCAGAATAATCTGTGGTTTCAGATGTTGCTGAGCTAGAATTTCCTAGAAGCCCAACTGGCATGGCCAGTGGTGAAATGGCTTCCACAGTTTTAATCTATGTGTCAAGCATAAACATTTGCTCATTGATCAGGAACATGATAGCATTGATTTGAGACCTCCTCTCAGTTTTTATAATGAAAAAAATTACCTGCAAATTTTGCAAGTTGGTTAATCTATACTTGCTTCTCAAATGTTTAACTTCTATTGCAGGAAATACAACAGCGGCATGGCTTGGCCAATTCAATCTCATCTTACCTTATCAAACCAGTTCAACGGATAACAAAATACCAGCTCCTTCTAAAGGTGAGTGTCAATATGGCCTTCACTTGTACAGTTGGATACCTTTTTTACACTAAAAAAATATGCTTTTTCAAAGACCATTTTATTAGGCTACAGCTAAATAAAGGATCGTTATGAAAAAAAAGTAATGATACCCTCAAATAACTCAACTTCTGGTGACATCTAACACTATATACTATTTCGACTGAGCCTAATTTCATTTGTGATTTCTAAACAACCATCTGTAAGAACCTAGTAGAATTACATTTTTTTAATGCCACTTTCACTTGATCTTATCAAAAGGCTCTTTAAGCTTGACTGGAGTGCAGAATTGAGGGGAAAATAAGATTACAATAGATGATTAGCTAGAATGGGGTAAAATGAGTCTCATAGTGGAGAGGGTTGCAGAAGTTCCTAGCCTGCATACTACAGCAGCTGATGGTGGTAAAATTCAGAGACTGTCCAAAGGACTTTAGTGGTTTGGCAGGATCATGGGGGAGCAGGTAGTGATTTAAATAGCTGCCCAATACTACATCATTTAGGATTCTAAAAATGACAGTGAGAAGCTTCAAAGAACCCTGGATGAAGCAGATTATCCGGATCCCTTTCACTCAGGTTTTCAGCCCAGGCATGGGATTGAAACTGCATTGGTTGCTCTTGTGGATGATGACTGTTGAGTTCTGAACTGGAGAAGTGCATCCTTCCTGTTCTTTTTGGATCTTTCAGTGACATTTGATACACAGATTATGCTATCCTTCTGAACTGCTTTTGAGAGTTGGTAGCGGAGGATGTTGTTTTGCAGTAGTTCTACTCATATCTGAGCAGATGTCAGTCAGTAGTAATAGGAGATGACTGATGGAATCCTTGGCCACTACTATAATAGGTACCACAGGACCTGGGTTCTTTCTATCTTGTTATTTATCATCTACCTGAAATCTTTGGGTGAAGTCATTTGTCACTTTGGAGTGAGTTATCATCACTATGCCGATGATACAGGAGATGCAGTGGATATTCTTATCCAGTATTTGGTGGCAGTAAGGGACTGCATGGGATGAAACAAGTTTAAATTGAATTTTAACAAGATGGATTTGCTGCTTGTCCAGAATCTTTCATATATTACAGCGGCCCCTATACTGGCTTTCAGTGGGACTGTACTCCTGAAAGAGCAGGCCTGCAGTTGGGTTTCTCCTGGATGCCTGGCTTCTATATGAGCAGCTGGTGGCGGGGCAGATTTTGCTCTACTCCAGCTGATGCCAGTTGCAGCCTTTTTGGAAGCAGGAAGCCCTGGTAACCATTATTCATGCCTTCATTTCCTCAAGATTAGATTACTGCAACACTTTAAAGACTACTTGGAGCTGTCTTTAAAGTGTTGCAGTAAAGACTACCCAGAATGTGGGCAAAAGCTGTTTTAAGCAGCTGTTTCAAACTATTCCATTGGGCTTTTGGACCGTGAGAAACCTATCACGTCCTGTTGGTCTTGTGTTATTTTTATTGCTTTAATCTGATTGTTTTTATGATTATTATGATATTAATGATATTTTTATATGAGCCACCCAGATTTTATGAAATTGGGTGAGTCTAAATTATCTAAACAAACAGTTATTAATTGGACTCAGGAAACAAATTCAGAGCTAAGACAGATGAAATAATATTTAAGAGATGCACTGTAAACGGTGAGCAACAGTTAGAATCTTGATCATAATATTCCCTACCAGTCACATTAACTTTCAAAAGCGACCCATATATACCTATGATCATGGTGTGAATGGCAAAGACTTTTAAGTTTATTTATTTGCATTTTGGCCTGAGTCCTTGACTCCCTTTTCATATGCCTTGATGGCTATGGCTTTATGTTAGAACTTCTAGTCATGTAGTTCTTCCAAAATGGCATGCAGCATAAACACATTTTCATGGTGCCTGACCATATTGTAGGTTGAACCATGTGCATGGAAAACTTTGCATGGCAACAAACCAGAATAAAAGCAGCAACAGAAAAGTCTTAAGAACTATGTTCAACGTACATGTCAAACTTTAACTGCATTATGTTATTCTGGTTTTGAGAGGTCATAGACAGGGAAATTAGGCTGCATAGCCCCCAACCCAGACTCTTAGTATGTAAGGTCAAGAAGCTGAAGAAGAACATGTTTAAATGAACATGTATCCACTCTGTATCCACTCTTAGATTTCATGAATCAACTCTTGTTACTAGCTTACTTTATTTCCATTTCCCTCTGTATTGATTTTAATTTAAAATGTTGCCTATCTTTCCTTTACACTCAAGTGTGCAGTCCACAACAAAGTGACTTTGTGCATCACAAAGCAGTGTTTCTGCACTCTTCAACATACTGTCAAGGGACCAAAAAGCCTATGAAAAGCAATTAAAGGAGGCTTAACAAATGGTAGAAGGTACATATGAATAAGTAGTGGAGACTCAAGCAACCTGTATGTTTAGAGAGCTATGTACGAAATAGTATCTGTAATATTCAGACAACTTCCTTGTATTGTATTAGATGCAGTTAATTCATCTCATTTGGAACCTTTTTAAATGTTCCAGTAAAAGAACAAAGTAATCTCCTGACATTTGGAAATGGGCTGCTGTAATTTTTACTGGAATACGTTAAAAGTTCTTTGAGAAGCTGTTGGCATTTGTTAAATGAAAAGACTGAGTGCTGTTTTCCTGTACACTGACTCCTTAAACAATGAAGCAAAGCAGTGGGGATGGCTTACAGTTATGTAGTGGATTGGAATATGAGAGGTATGTAGAGCGTATAACTGGTATCAGTGCCCTCCCAACCTGATGAAGTTTGTAAACTAATGCAAGCCTGACTGGAGTTCAAACCAGCCTTAATCAAATCCATTTCAACCTACTACTAGGCCTCCGTGCTGAATCCTCTAGCAGTTCTTTCAAACGTGTAGGTGACATTGGGGAACATAGGGCCTTTTTTTTTACAGTCCAAGACCAAGTCACAAAATTTA